ATACATATATATATATGTATGTATGTATGTAGGCTTGCCCCACGTTTGAATCTTATCTTTGCTGTATCTCATGCTGTTGGTAGTTTGACTCGTGTCCATATTTGGTGTGTTTGTGATGAGGCAGTTTTCCTTCCTTCCTCCTGGTTCGTGGAGCGCTGCTGCTCACAGAAAAACATCCTTTCTGTGGAGMAGAGCTGCTGAAAAACTCACAGAAGACAGATTAAGTGTTTTACAGGAAACATAAAAAGCTACAGCATGTTTGTGCAAATATTCACAAATGTTTATCAGAAAACTGACTTTAAGCTGGATGATGTTTCAACTAGAAACTAGGATGTTTTTGAAGACATTTTTAAGAGTGTTGAAATATAAATAAATGTTAAAACTGCTGTCAGTGTCACATTAGTGTTATTATGGTTAGATATCTGCAGGACTGTCAACTGGTGAGTCACGACCCAAAAGGTGGGTCAGAGGCCGAACATCCAGAAATTAAACTGATTATATAAATAAATCAAGTATTATAAAGATATGTTACCTTTGAATTAGTTTATTTTGCTACATTTAATCGTGAATACAACATACAGAACCTTATAATAAAAGCAGTGATAATAATAAAACAACAACAAAAAGAACACATTCTGCCTCTTATTTAATACAAATAATATTTTCACATCTCTGACTTTCTAATTTTTTAAACCAATTTTATTTTCACTTTCATAGTTTTATCTTCATCAGCTTACAGTTTTAACTGTCTTAAGTGTTTATAGAAATGTTTTTACCAGCTTCAAAATTAGATTCTGATGTTTCTGTAGATACAAACATGTCTATGTTAATCAAAAAAAAAAAAAAACCTGGCCGAACTTTGGTCACTCGTGGGCCGGATGTGGCCCGGGGGCTGCCAGTTGAACATCCCTGCTCTACATTAAGACTTGTGAGAAACCCTTAAATCCTGCAGCAGTGAAAACTACACTGGATGATGGAAACAAATATGTTTGTGCTCTGATGTAAACTTCATTAACATGTTTCGTTTGTGGAAATAAGAATTTATTTTTGCAGAAAACTAAAGTTTAGTTTGATAAAAATGTTTAAAATCATACAGCTTCACTGAAAATGTAAAAAAAAATACACATACTTCAATAATATACCACAYAACGTATCAAAAATAAATGTGACTTTAAATCATTCGATCTAAACACCATAAACTTTGCTTCTGTCTCTTTTAGAACCTCCTACCGTTTCCAACAGTTCCACTTCAGCTCGTCTTTAGTTGTGTTGATGGAATGACATCATAACATGATATAAAGCTGAAAAAAAGTCAATTTTAATAATACCCCACTTTAAAGTGGCAGCTTTTTAAAGGAAACTGCAAATGTTAGTTTAAGTTTTAAATCATGTTTTATTGTGAAGTCTGAGGAAGGAGATCTGGATTATCACACTTTTTTTTTTTTTTACAGAAATAACATTGTTGTCTGTTTGTAAATGTTTTTATTATAAATCTTTGTC